CTACTCCCGCGGAAGAGCTCAGAAGTTAGGAAATGGCTAATTTTGCGGCTGCTCTTGCCTCTAGTGCCAGCCGACATAAGCATGGGTACAGCTGCTGCGTGGAGAGGAGTCAGGCTGGCTCTCGTTCCCACTCCCTGGGTGTTCCCTGAGAGAAGGGCGCTGTGTGGGGAAGATGCCGGGGCATTCCCAGGACGGTGGCTGCAGTGGGGGCCCAGCCTTTCCACGTGGCTGGGCTCTCTCTGTGCCCAATTTCTAAAGCCAGGTGCGGACACCGGAGCTAGCAGAGCTTCTCCGAGGAGGCTTCCAGAGGATTTTGTGGTGGAATTGTGAGGGAGGGTCCAAGCTCCGCTGGGGAGCCAAGGGTTAGGGAGCAGCTCAGGGCACAGACGCCCAGCCCAGCTGCACCTGCAGGGCAGGCTCGCAAGGTGGCTGAAGGAAGGAGCAGGCCCCCTGCTTGGACCAGCCCTGTCCGCCGAGCCGCCGGAGGGAGCCGGCACTGGAAGGGTGGGTTGCGCTTGCTGGAGAAGAGCTTTCAGATCACCGCCCCGGGGGAGCCCGTCCGCAGGCTCCCGTGTGACTTCGGAGGGGCAGAGGCTGGGTAGGAAGGGACCCAGAGAGGTTGGGGGGGGGGCCTGTATTGGACCTGCCGGTCACTGGGCTCTGGGCTGGCACCTGGGTGGAGCAGGGAGGAACCATGTTCCACTACCACACCCCTCAGATGCTCACCACTGGCCTGTCATGGCTGTGGGCTCTTACCACTAAGCCATACTGCTGGGCTTGGACCCAGTCCCATGTGCTAGGCGAGCTACGTAGAGAGGCTATTTACTATTGCAGATGCTGCCACACACGCTGACTCCCAGGGGGTTCCATTACATCCAGGGCCCCTCAGGTGCCAGACTGGGGGGGCACCACTAGGACCCAGAGAATCGAGACCTTTCAAAGTTTTGGCCCAAGCGAGGGGTATGGGGGACGTCATTTGAGCTCCCCGCTTCAGGTGCCAAAATGTTGTGGACCAGCCCTGGCCGGGCCTCCCATGTTCTCACTCATACAATTAACATATGCACAGTGGTGCTGTCATCTCCTCCCAGAGGTCCCTGCCCCGTTTCTGCAGCGGCATGGCCCTCCGCCTCGGCAGCTTTGCATTTCCTGCGACGTGATTGGAAGTCTGCTCCGGGAGCCGGACAAGCAGAGACCCACCCCTGTGTTGCAGCCAGCCCTTCGTTTGGAGGGTGCGTTCTCAAGGGGGGCTGAGGCACCCTACGCCTGCCCCGTAACCAGATTACATCTATGCTGTGCTGTATCCTGGAGGAGCAATAAGCTCCCTCTTTTCTACTGGCTGGTGGAGTCTGTCCGTGCCATTACGGGGGTGCAGGAGACGGGAAAACCCCAACGCGCCGTCACAGGCGCGCTGGAGGCTCTTGGGCCAGTTCTCACGTTCCATCCCCACAACGTCTTTTGGGTCTAACCCTCGACCCTGGTCCCCGGGTCAGAGCCAGGGGCTGCCCCTGCAAGAGGGGAGGGAGCTGGGGTTTTGGTGGTACCTTGATCGGGAAGCAAGGTGGCTCGAAGACGCAGCTGGTCTCACAGTGAACGTCTTGGTTGTCGATTTTTGTAGTTGTGAAAGGGGCTAAGTCCAAATCGTGGTCGACCCACTGGCCCCAGTGCATGAAGAAAAGGGAGCGGGCCTGGTCCGGGGTGACGTTCTCGTTGGCCGTGTGGATGATTTCATTGGACACTTGCCGAACCTGCCCGGCGAGCAAAGAGGCAAAAAGGGTGAGTTGAGCTCCACAGGGCCAGGCTGTAACGGGGCGGGGGGCTGCTGCAGACCTGGGGACGTATCGGGCACATCCCTTCACTGAAAACCAGTCTGAAGTTCAGTGAGGGTGAGTGATGCAGCCTTTGTCTCCCGCTTGAATCTTGGAAAATCAGCATTGTGCTTTCTCCCTTCCAGCCATTCAGCCGGGGGAGGATGGGGGAGGGCTCCTAGTATGCCCCAAAATCCTCTTCCCTGTCTTCCTTCACACCCCTGCTGACGTGCACTAAGCGCATGATGCGCAGGCCTTGAGTGGGAGGAGTTTCACCCTCCACGAGACTCTGTGGCCAAGAGGGGGGAGTTGCCTGGGCAGTGAGAGAGAACGAGGCTCTGTTCCCCTCGAGGGCTGGCTGGAGCACGTTAGCTGGGGGATTATACTGCACCTCTGAGCACACTGGCCCGGTGCAAAGTGCTGCTTATACTGCACCTCTGAGCACACTGGCCTGGTGCAAAGTGCTGTGGACAGCACAGAGTTCTTAGCACCCCCGGAGGGAATTGGTGAAACTGGAAGTTACGGGCTGCTGGCTCCCACTCTGAGCTCCTTCTGCCCCGTGCAGCAGCCTGGCCCAGCCCTCTGCCCAGGGAGCAGCGCCGCCCCCGTATTGAAATATGGGAGTTGTTGATTGGCCAAGGACTCAAGTGACCTCAGCCTCGTACCAGCGGGAGCGGAAAGCCGTTATACAGTTTGCCTTCCTCTAGTCCTTTGGGAAGACACACTCCATCCTCATACTCTGCGGGGAGCCATCGGGCATAGCCATGGTTGGAAGCCCCAAAATACGCATTCTTCCTGGAACGCGGGGAAGAAAACAAGCGACTCAACGACTGCTGAAAGGACACAGAGTCTCTCCCTGGAATGTGACGATAAATAGGAATCGTCTCCAGGTTCAGAGGCAACGGCTATGTTCTGACAAGCCTCCGAGACCGAGACCTGGCGTCCCTGAGCACAGGCTGCGGTTAACACCGGCCTAGCAGGATGAATCGCCATCTTGGTCTTCTCCCGCAGAGTTAATTTAGGTAAACAAAGCATCGCGCAGCACTAGTGGCCCCCTACAAGCTGCAACCCAAAGTGTGAAAGCCCCAGTTAGATCGACGGCATTTCCCCCATAAGAAACTCGCCGCTTTCGCTAAGAGAGCTCTCAGGGTAGTCCCACATGGCCTGCCCTTGCCTGCAGTGTTGTGGCTCCAATGGAGCGTATTGCCCCTCTTACAACCCTCCTGGGGCAAACCCACGTTCCATTTACCTCCATGGATTTGTTCTAAAGGATTGTATCTGCCGAGGTCAGACTGACGGTTTCTAGTTGCCTAGGTTACTACCCCCTCCCCGCATATGAAATATCAATAAGTTTGTTTCTCTTCCATCATGTGGTACCACCCCAATTTGATACTTTTAGTAAAAATCTTTACCACTGGATTGGCAATTTTATGTTCTAGTTAATAGAATCAGAGACTATTAGGGTTGGTCATCTAGTCCACACCCGCCCACAGCAGGGCCAACCCTGCTCAATCAGTCCGGACAGGGCTGTGTCGAGCCAGGACTTAAACACCCCTAGGGATGGAGATTCCACCCCTCCCCAGGGAACCCAGCCCCGCGCTTCCCCACCCACCTAGGGAAACAGCTTTTCCTAATCTCCAACCTAGACCTCCCCCCTGCAACGTGAGCCCATTGCTCCTTGTTCTGCGATTGGCCCCCCGAGAACAGCCTCTCGCAGCCTCTTTGGAACCCCCCTTCAGGGAGTCGCAGGCTGCTCTCAAATCCCCCCTCACTCCGCTCTTCTGCAGACTAAATAAGTTCAGTTCCCTCAGACTCTGCCCCAGCCCTGAATCATTTTGGTCGCCCGCCTCTGGACCCTCTCCAGTGTACCCACATCCTTCCAGTAGTGGGGGGCCCAGAACTGGACACAATACTCCAGATGTGGCCTCACCAGTGCCTAGAAGAGGGGAACAATCACTCCCCTAGATCTGCTGGCCATGCTCCTACTAATGCACCCTAATATGCCATTAGCCTTCTCGGCTACCAGGGCCCCCTGTTGACTCATCTCCAGCTTCTCATCCACTGTAACCCCCCGGTCCCTTTCTATCGAACTGCTACTTAGCCAGTCGGTCCCCAGTCTGTACCAATACTTGGGATTCTTCCCTCCCAAGGGCAGGACTCTGCACTTGTCCTTGTTGAACCTCATCAGATTTCTTGTGACCCAATCCCCTAATCTGTCCAGGTCACTCTGGACCCCATCCCTGCCCCCCAGCGTATCTACCCCTCCCCAGGATTTTTCTGGGTACTGATGTGAGGCTGACTGGTCTGTAAATCCCCGGATCCTCCTTCATCCCTTTTTGAAAGACAGGCACCACATTTGCCTTTCGCCAGTCATCTGGGACCTCCCCCGATGGCCAGGTTTCCAGAGGGAACGACCAGTCCTGGGGTATTCCCCCGACTTGAACCTCTTTGAGCTTTGCTTCCTCCTCACATTTCCAGACCCTTATCCCACCTGCTCTACATTATCAGCCCTAGTGAAGCAAGGGGCAGCGAACGCCGTGGGCCGTACCTGCACTGCAGGGAAGGGCAGAAGTGGCCGGGTGGAGGCTGATCTGGAACGGCCATAAGAAGGGACAGAGCCACCCCAAGCCTCTCCCTCTGGGCCCTTCCCTGAGATTTGGTAGTGAGGAAGGGCCTGAGTCCCCCTGCCCTCCCCTTTCCCTGGCCTCTGAGAGATGCTGGGGGGCTCCGGGGGAGGATGAATGGCGGCTTGGCTGCTGGGTCCCAGGACTGCCTGGAAGGCTCAGAGGGGAGACTGTCTCTGCACAGTTTGAACAGCGAAGCCTGCTACACACCTCCAGGTTTGTTCCGCATTTGTGCAGCATCTCGCTGGGCCCGTGCTACTCCCGCACTACAACTCACTAACGCTACAGCGCGTTCTGCATGGTGCGAGGGTCTCACACTGGTACCTCTAAGGGTCTGTCCTGGCCACTGTGTCGGCTGGAGGCCCGCTAGTCCCCACGACCAATTGACCAACCTGTTGTTGCATTCTCCAGTAATGGTCCGGTAGGGGCTACTCTCTGGGCAGGTGATGGGACGAATCTGGTAGTCGCAACCAGTCATCTTGGAAATCATTTCCTTCTGCTTCTTGCTCAGAACATCTGCAAGAGAAGCCCGTCAGTGTGAAGCCTTTTCTGGAGCCCTCTCCAATGGCCCGTTTCAGGCGTCCCCAGCGGAAAGCTCTTCAGACAAAGAGCATCCCATTTAAACTCTCTCGTCGCAGCAGCCGGACGCAGAAGGGCCAGCGTCACGTTCTGGAGCACGCTCGGCATCTCAGGCCTGGGAAGTGGTTTCTTTGCGATCTTCCTCTCGGTGCTTGGAGCCCCTGAAGTGGCGGGCGGGTACTGGGAGGGACTCAAAAGTGCTAATGACAAAACCACCCCTGTGCTATCCCCACCTGGTTCGACGACGGGTGGGACAACGTTCCTGTAGGAGGGGGTTAAGTGCGCGGTGTTTTCAATGACTACGGTGACGTAATTGGAGGATAGGCTGAGGGACTAGGCAGGGGCAGTGGAAAGGGAAGATCCGAGGAATAGTGCGGCTGGAGGAGAAGGGGAGGGAGGGTGGCAGGGAGGGAATTTACTGCTAAGTTGGGAGGCGCTGCAAACTTAGCAAGAAGAAAGCAAGAACCAGGAGATTTGAGAAGCCGGGGGTCACACCAGGCTGTTTGCCTCTAAGGCCGTGTCCAGACTCAGGGGTTTTTTCGGGAAAAGTAGCCTTTTCCCGAAAAAACTTCCCCTGCGTCCAGACTCAAGCTGCGTTCTTTCGAAATTATTTCGAAAGAACGCGGCTTTTCTTTCGATGGCGGTAAACCTCAATTTACGAGGAAGAACGCCTTCCTTCGAAAGTTCCTCTTTCGAAGGAAGGTGTTCTTCAATGTAAAGAGGCCGTCTTCGAAAGAGAGCATCCAGACTCGCTGGGTGCTCTCTTTCGAAAAAGCGGATTTTTCTTTCGAAAGATCCGCCTGCAGTCTAGACGCGATCTTTCGAAAGATGCTCTTTCGAAAGAAGCCTGCAGTCTAGACATAGCCTATGTCGGGACGAACTTCCTCTGTCAGGGATGCAGAACTGCATCTGTCAGGGATGGTCTAGACGGTGCTTGGTCCTGCCGGGAGGGCAGGGGACCGGACTCGATGCCTCTTGAGGCCCCTGCCAGTTCTAGTGTTCTAGGATTCTAGGATTCCTGCCTGGAGGAGCTAATGGAAATGGTGGGAGCTGGAATTTCTGGGACATTTAGGCCACATTAAGTATCAGAGGGGGAGCCATGTTAGTCTGAATCTGCAAAAGCGGCGAGGAGTCCTGTGGCACCTTAGAGACTAACTGAAGTGTTGGAGCATCAGCTTTAACTTATTCTTCACTGCTGCAGCAACTGATTTTCCAGAGTTTGATTTAGTGGGTCTAGTAGAGACTCACTAAATCAAATGCTGAGGGTGCCCCCTCTGATGCCAGTATTCAGTGTGCAAGGAATAAGACCTCCTGCTATGGAGAAGGCACCAAAGGTCGAATTAAGGATGTCGACTCCAGCTATGCAATTCATGGAGTGGGAGTTGCGTGCTTGAATTTGAACTTCTAGGTTAGTATAGAGAAGGCCTTACTGGACGGGCAACTAGCACGTGTGCAGCTGGGAGCCAGAGTCGTAACTAGCTAATCTGGCGCCTGAGGGAAGACCGTCCTCGGTGTGGGCGAGGCGCTGACGTGGCGCGAGGCACGAGCACAGACAGCGCAGGAGCTGCCTTCTCTGAGCCCCCTCAGCTCCGCGCCCGCTGCAAGTGCCTCACTCGCCTCGCCTTTGTCACGGCCTGCTGGGAGCAGCCTGAGCGGGAGGTGTCAGGCCGAGGCGGGAGGTGGGTTCCATTGCCAGGGTTTGCGACGGCGCCAGCACTGACTGCGTTGTCCTTAGGGGGCTCCAGGCCTTGCCTGGCTCAGCCGTGGCTCAGACCCTGGGGCAGAACCACCACTGGGCTCTCCTGCCAGCGACAGGTCCCCTGCTGCTCCCCGTACCTGTGAGGTTAAACTCCCCTTTCACCATCCGAAGCAACTTCTTCTTCAGGATCTTCAGGGTGGTTTCCAAGTAATCGGCAGCTCGGATTGCAGACCTGGTTCCTGCCACCGGCTCCTTCAAATGCTTCAGGAAGTCGCAGGGGCGGGCGCTCTTTTTCGGCAGCTCCTTCTTGCTTCTGCAAACCAAAGGACCCTGAAGCGTGCACCAGTCACTGCTGGCCGCAGCCCACCCCTCTGAAACAAGCCCTGCATCGCCGTGCGGGAATTACAGCCAGGCCCCAAGCAGTGAGGAGCAGGCCTGGAGCAGCCCGCTTGATCCTGGATGGCCTACGGAGCCGGGGCTCCTAGGCCAGTGCCACCCAGCACACACCACCCAACCCGGGACCCTGCTTGGCAGACACTCCCTGCTTTCTGTACGCTTTGTGTGATGGTCTCACCTACAATCCTTCTCACTTCTATGGAGCTGTGAGAGCGCAGCCAATTGCCCGCTGCGTGCGAAGGCAGCGGCTCTCACAAGCCCTCTAGATACACGTCTGGGGTGTGTCTAGACGACAGGCTTTTGTTGACAGAAGTTTTGTCGTTAGATACTGTCGACAAAGAGCGTCTAGACGACAGCCAGTTCTGTCGACAAAGCCGCTTTGCCGACATGACAGTGTAGACGCAAGGACAGTGTAGATGCAATAGCGCCCTCTGTCCACAGAACTCTGTCGACACAAGGCGCTATTCCTCGTAGAATGAGGTTTACCGCCGTCGACAAAGCTGCTGAGTTCTCTCGACATTATGTTGAGAGAACTCAGTGGCAGTGTAGACGCAGGTATCATTTTGTCGACAAAACCCTGTAATCTAGACACACTCTCAGACGTACCTAGGGAGTGCTAGGGAGGAGCCAGTGGATGAGCTACGTGTCAGACCAATGATATGGGGAAAGGCAGGCCAGAGGCCCTGCCTCCCTGCCTCCCTCCCTCTCTCCCTGCATTAATTTGGGGGTAAGATGTGCGGGATAAGTTGGCCTGGGAATGTGGCTGCTCCTTTGGGATCAGAAGAACTTGTTCAGGGTTGGTGAGTTTGGCTTTCGTAGCCTCTCATCTGGACCGCGAGCGGTACTGGGGCTGGCCCGGGAGAACTGGACTGTCTAGGGAATTGCTTGCAGGACTCCTTGTCAGCCAGTGTGGCAAATAGAAGTGCTCTGTGTGACTGGTTTGGTGCCTTGTAGTGGGGGACCCGCTGTCTTGGGCTGTACGAGTCCTGTCTCTAAGCAATTCGCTCTAAATTGACCCTACAGATCTACAGATCCACGCTAGAAAAAACATTCACAACCCCTGAATGCTGATGTCTCCTTACCCAACCTGTACTTGTGCAAAAGCAAAACTCCCCAAATACCGGAATCGTGTTCACCTGTTTATGTGTAAAATTGTCACAACTCCCTTGTCCTGTTCTGTGCCCTGGGGAAGGATAACACAACTCCCTTGTCCTGTTCTGTGCCCTGGGGAAGGATAACACAACTCCCTTGTCCCGTTCTGCGCCCCGGGGAAGGATAACACAACTCCCTTGTCCCGTTCTGCGCCCCGGGGAAGGATAACACAACTCCCTTGTCCCGTTCTGCGCCCCGGGGAAGGATAACACAACTCCCTTGTCCCGTTCTGCGCCCCGGGGAAGGATAACACAACTCCCTTGTTCCGTTCTGCGCCCCGGGGAAGGATAACACAACTCCCTTGTCCTGTTCTGTGCCCTGGGGAAGGATAACACAACTCCCTTGTCCCGTTCTGCGCCCCGGGGAAGGATAACACAACTCCCTTGTCCTGTTCTGTGCCCTGGGGAAGGATAACACAACTCCCTTGTCCCGTTCTGCGCCCCGGGGAAGGATAACACAACTCCCTTGTCCTGTTCTGTGCCCTGGGGAAGGATAACACAACTCCCTTGTCCCGTTCTGCGCCCCGGGGAAGGATAACACAACTCCCTTGTCCTGTTCTGTGCCCTGGGGAAGGATAACACAACTCCCTTGTCCCGTTCTGCGCCCCGGGGAAGGATAACACAACTCCCTTGTCCTGTTCTGTGCCCTGGGGAAGGATAACACAACTCCCTTGTCCCGTTCTGCTCCCCGGGGAAGGATAACACAACTCCCTTGTCCCGTTCTGTGCCCCGGGGAAGGATAACACAGAGTGAACTCACTTTTCCCGTTCGTACTTGTACGCAGCATCCACCAGCTGCTTGGCCTCATTGGTGCTGCTCAGAAAGAAGGGATCTGGTAGTTTCTCCACGACATCTGGCCCAAAGATAGGAAACAGCAGGATGTGAGGACAGCGCACGCCCACCTACTGCCCGCACACACCCAGGGAGAGGAACACAGGTGTCCTCCATGCTGGGACCCTGCTGCAGTTCCCGTCAGGCACTTAAAGCCGTGCCTGGAGTTGGATGGAAGTTGTTTCTCTGCCATAGCTCCATAGACTGAAAGGGTTCCAAGCACTGAAGAAAGGGAGCCACAAAGCCAAGTTAAACTCGGGGCCACGGGGCAAAACCGAGTGGCCTGTCCATCTAGCCGACTTGGAGTAGAGATCGAACGGTCCGTTCTGGCCCATGCTCCAGGAATTAGAGTTCCCACTTCCCAGCTCCTCAGGAGGACAGAACGAAGCTTTTTGGAGCCAGCCATTCTTCAGCGCTCAGCTCAAACTGCGTCTGCAGCTGCTGTCTCTTCTCCCTGCTCCCACCACTCAGCTGTGCTCAGACCTGCTGGTGGACTGAACACAAGTCAGGGCCCTTAGACTGTTCTTGCCAGATGTGCTCACCAGACCCTGTCTCCTCTCGCTGCCTGCACCCTGCCCAGAGCACCTGGAGCCCCACCTGGCTTCCCAGGCCTGATTGGTGAATATCCTGCCAGTTTGTGACTCCATTTCCATAGGGGCTGGGCTTCATCAGGGGACACCGCCACACTCTCTGGTGTGTACACTGAACTCTGGCCCTGGGGGGCAGGGATGTGGGGCCTGGATTGCTTCCATAAGAGCGGCCATATGGGTCAGACCAAGGGCCCATCCAGCCCACTGTCCTGTCTTCCAACAGCGGCTAATGCCAGGTGCCCCTGGGGAGTGAACAGCACAGGGAATCATCAAGTGTCCCTCCCTTCACAATGTCCTCTGGCAAGGAGTTCCACAGGTTGACTATGCACTAGCAATAGCCGGATATCCCCTCTCTGTAGCTAAATACGTAGGCTCCCTCTCATTGAATGTGTGACCCCCCAAAAGCCACTGGACGGGGCCTTCCAAGAAAATCAGTGGGTATGTCTACACTAGCCCCCTAGTTCGAACTAGGGTGGCTAATGTCGGCATTCGAACTTGCAAATGAAGCCTGGGATATTTAAATCCCAGGCTTCATTTGCAAGTTCGAATGCCGACATTAGCCACCCTAGTTCGAACTAGGGTGGCTAATGTCGGCATTCGAACTTGCAAATGAAGCCCGGGATTTAAATATCCCACGCTTCATTTGTATGTTCCCGGGGGGGGGCCGATTTTTAAATCCCCTTAGTTTGAACTGACTGCCCACGGCTACATGTGGCAGTCAGAAGCTAATCCAAACTAAGTCCTTAGTTCGGATTAACTGTTCCTCCTCCTGCAATGAGGTGTGTAGCCGCAGGCAGTCAGTTTGAACTAAGGGGATTTAAAAATGGCGCCCGCCCGGGAACATACAAATGAAGCGTGGGATATTTAAATCCCAGGCTTCATTTGCAAGTTCGAATGCCGACATTAGCCACCCTAGTTCGAACTAGGGGGCTAGCGTAGACATACACTTGTAGACACTGTAGCAGCCTACAAACGGCTGTAGAATTTCAAGCTGGACTCCTTGAAAAGTTTTGGAACCCTTTCCACATCTCCCAGACGGCCCTCCCGTGTCTTATGGCAACCAATGAAGCCAGGGGAGCCTGTGAGGTAACTGTACCTCTGGGTGCCCCAAGGGTTTTTGACTCCCAGCTACGGCTCTCAGATAGAGACCTGTGCCTCCTGCCCCTGGACCAGGGAGTTACGGTGCACAGCTCCCTGCCTTCCCCTGCAAGCAGATAGTCTCTGTCTTAGCCTCTGCCCCTTTCCTAATGATTCCCAACTTCGCTTTGCTTTTTTGACGGCTGCTGCGCACCAAGTGGCTGTTTTCCGAGAACTCTCCACGACTTCAGGCTCTCTCTCAAGTGGTACCAGCTAATTTAGGCCCCATCACATTTTGTACGTAGAGATGAATTTTATCAACATTAAAATTCATCTGCTATTTTGTTGCCCAGTCAGCTAGTGTTGTGAGATCCCTTTGAAGCTCTTCACAGTCTGCTTTGGACTTCACTAGCTTAGGCAGTTTTTTGTCATCTGCAAATTTTGTCACCTCCCTGTTTCTCCAGATCATTTATGGGACACCATGAGTTACCTCTCCCCATCTCAATCCATGAGAGGACCTTGCCTCTTACCCTATGACAACTTACTTCTCTTAAGAGCTTTGGGTGCGGGACTGTGTCAAAGACTTTCTGAAAATCTAAGTACACTCTATCCCCTTGGCCACGTGCTTCTTGACCACCTCAAAGAATTCTAGTAGATTGGCGAGGCAGGATTTCCCTTTACAGAAACCATGTAAAAAAGCATGTTAATCTACGTCTGACAATTCTGTTCTTTACTATAGTTTCAAGCAATTTGCCCCGTACTGAAGTTAAACTTACTGGGTTGTAACACCAGGATCACTTTAGAGCCCTTTTTAAAGATCAGCATCACATTAGCTATCTTCCTGTCATTAGGTACGGAAGCCGATTTAAAGGGTAGGCAACAAACCACCGTCCACAGTTCCGCAATTTCACAATTGAGTTCTTTCTGAACTGTTGGCTGAATGCCATGTGGTCCCGGTGACTCGTCACTGTTCAGTTTATCAATTTGTTCCCAAACCACCTCTAATGACACCTCCGTCTGGGACAGTTACTCAGATTTGTCACCTGCATAGAATGACTCACATTTGGGAATCTCCCTCATGACCTCAGCCCTGAAAACTCATGAAAAGAATTAATTTAGTTTCTCTTCAATGACTTTATCGTCCTCCTTTGGCATCGTGATTGCCAGGGGCTCCACTGGCTGTTTAGCAGCTTCCTGCTTCTGATGGACTTAAAAACATTGCTATTACTTTTTGAGTTTTCAGCTAGCTGTTCTTCAAACTCCTTTTTGGCTTTCCTAATGATATTTTTACACTTCTTTTGCCAGAATTTTATGCTCTTTCTATTTTCCTCACTAGGATTTAACGTCCCCTTTTTATCTCTCACTGCTTCTTTTACTTGGTTGTTAAGCCACGGTGGCACTTTTTTCATTCACTTACTATGTTTCTTTTTTAAATTTGGGATATATATTTAAGTTGAGCCTCCATTATGGTGTTTTTGAAAAATTTCCATGCAGGTTGCAAGGATTTTACCTTTTACACTCTACCTTATAATTTCTGTTTAACTAACAATCTAATTTTTGTGTAATTCTCCCTTCTGAAATGACTTAATGGTTTCTTGCTTAATGACTTCTTGTTTCGGTCTTTACCGAGAAGTCTGATGATGAAGGAATGCCTAACGCAGAGAATGCTAGTGGGAAGGGGGTAGGTTTAGAAGATAAAATAAAAAAAGAACAAGTTAAAAATTACTTAGAAAAGTTAGATGTCTGCAAGTCACCAGGATCTGATGAAATGTATCCTAGACTACTCAAGGAGCTGAGAGAGGAAGTATCTGAGCCTTTAGTTATCATCTTTGAAACGGGAGAGATTTCAGAAGACTGGAAGAGGGCAAATCTAGTGCCCATCTATAAAAAGAGAAATAAGAACAACCCGGGAAACTACTACAGACCAATTAGTTTAAACTCTGTGCCAGGGAAGATAATGGAGCAAGTAACTAGTGGGGTAATGTAGGCATACCGCACTTGCTTAAAACCCCGCTGGTTCAAACCCCGTGCAGCGCGGCTACATGGGGCACGAACTAGGTAGTTCGAACTAGGCTTCCTAGTTCGAACTACCGTACTCCTCATTTCACGTGAAATGGGATGTAGTTTAGACGTAGCCTATGTGTGAAACTGATTGATGATAATAGACTCACAACCTCTGGCTGAGTTAATGAAGTCCTGCTGTCTTGATTTAAAGCTTTAAAGTTATGGAGAACCCACCATTTATGCTAATTCAAGATGGCAAGCGACCTGTATCCTTCCCCAGTGTCTCTGCCAATGTGATCAGGGGAAACTCCTTCCTGGCCCCAAATATGGAGATCAGTTAAACCCAGAGCATGTGGCCACCAGCCAGACACCTGGGAAAGAATTCTCTGAAGTAACTCATCTACTCTTCCCTTTCCAAATGTGGGTGATATCTGTTAATAGCAGTCATGGGTTGGCCATATGCCATTGTAGACAACCTCATCATACCATCCCCTCCATAAACTAGAATCCTAGGACTGGGAGAGACCTCAGAAGTCATCAAGTCCAACCCCCTGCTAAAAGCAGGACCAAGCCCAACTAATTCATCCAAGTCAGAGCTTTGTCAAGCCGGGACTTTAAAACCTCTAGGGATGGAGAATCCACCACCTCCCTAGGGAACCCATTCCCGTACTTTAGCACCCTCCTAGGAAATAGTTTTTCCTAATAGCCAACCCATCCCAAGTTTTGCTGCTGTTTTTTTTGGGAGGGGGCGTGAGGGTTTCTCAAAAATCAAAAAGGAGGCGTGATGCCAAAAAGTTTGGGAACCGCTGGTCTAGATGGTGCTGGGTCCTGCCGTGAAGGCAGGGGACTGGACTCCGTGACCTCTCGAGGTCCCTTCCAGTCCTAGTGTTCTATGAAATTAAATGACCCAGCGTTGGGCTGCTGTGGTGTTTTTCCCACCACAGGAATATTACATTGAATTATATTGTGGTCTCTATTTCCAAGTGGTGCTCTGGGACCAGACCCTGCGCTCCACTCAGGACTAAATTGAGAACTGCCTCTGCTCCGGCGGGCTCCAGCACCCACTGCTCCAAGAAACAGCTGTTTATGGTGTCAAGTAACTTTATCTCTCTAGCTAGTCCTGAGGGGACATGTGCCCCGTTGATATGAGGATAGTTGGAATCCCCCAGTTTTTTTATTTTGTGGCTTCCCTAATCTCCCTGAGCATTTCACAGTGAGGCGAGTCTCTCGAGATGTGTATAGCCTGTGTGACTCATCTAAATCACCCTCCTCCTCGTCCAACACACACACACACACACACACACACACACACACACACACACACACACACACACACACTATTTTCAGTTCCTGGAGAAGCAATGAAAAATCCTCCCTTAGAGCTGCAAACAACCGCTGGCCCACTGCAATACAGAAACCAGGTGCTGCATGCAGACGCTAGATCCCCCAAAGACTGCATGCAGCTGCAATATCTGTCCATCTTAAATTCTCGTGGCTTGAGTTAGATCATTTACTTCGAAACGTGTCTGACGCAACCAGGAGTCCAGAAGGTCTGCTGCAGGTCTGAGACAAGCCGCAGAGCGTGAGAAAAGTTGGTTTGCTCTTGACCCTCATGCACCTGTTCAATCTGGCAGTATCCAAACGCCAAATCCAAACTACTCAGATGTTTGGCTCCTTTTGTGCCCTTCTGTTAAGGCTCCCACCAAGTTAACCCCTTGCTCCTTTCCCACCGGCCTGCTACTCTGCTCTTTTTCACTAGCTAAACTTCCTGCTCCACCATGATAATACCCAGTATCCAACTGGAAACAGTGGGCAGCCCCGCTCGGATACTGGTAACTACAAACACTCCTGCAGATTCACAGCACCGGTGCTTTGTCCTCCGGGATCTGACTGCACGAATTATCTAGGGACCAGTTTGTGGGTTGTGTCGGACGTGGTGTTCGCAGTGGTCCCTTCTGGCCTAGGTATCTGCACATGTGAGGCTGGTGACAGAAATCATTTAGTTCTTCAACAACCTCAGTTTTTCTGCTTTGTTTAACTCCCTGGGAGTCAGCCATCCCGCTGGCTCTCCAGCAGGGTTCCTGCTGCTGCTTGAGAATTTCTGACTCTGTTTATACCTTCAAATATTTACTCCATCTTAGCCTCCCTTGGTTCCCTCTGACTGCTAGAGTGTGTTCTTGCTAACTGGCTGGGTGGGGCTGCGTTTCCAAATCCCAAAGAATTTTTCTCTGGCTCAGAGAAGCCCTTGAATCTCGGCACTTACTCTTCTCTTCCTGGTTCCCTTTTGCTCAGCAGTTTGCATGGGACACTCCAGCCACAGTTTTCATAGGCAGCCAAATCTCAGGGTGTTTCTGCCTTTTCTCTGGCCGTAGGGCTGTTCTGAAGAGCTTCCTTATTGCAACTGAACTCCCTTTTCTATACCTAGTGTTGCAACAAGCGGGTTTTGTACCTTATTTCCCTTTAGCTATTAACCCAGTTACATTGTGGCCGTTATCACTTGCCGGCTTGTTGGAGGAAGATGTGAGTTGGGGCTGTTTGATTCAGTTTATTTCATATGCTGACGTAATTTAAATCAAATCTGTCACAGATTCTGTGCCTCTCGCAAGAGCCCACCGAGCCATGTTTAATCACGGCCGTTCTCTCGCGCTGTTAATGCTACCAGGAGCGCGTGAATTCTTCCCAGGGCATAAGCTGAGGTCTCATTCCAGGTGGCATTGGTGGGGGCCCTTTCTATTGAATGTGCCCTGGACTTCCCATTGAATCGCCCTTTCTCTCTGTTGCTCTAACTTGGCCCCCTTAAAGCTTTCAGGGGTTGACATGTTCCAGAAATTCTTTGGCTGTGTCTAGACTGGCCAGTTTTTCCGGAAAATCAGCCGCTTTTCCGGAAAAACTTGCCAGCTGTCTACACTGGCTGCTTGAATTTCCACAAAAGCACTGACTTCCTACTGTCTGAAATCAGTGCTTCTTGCGGAAATATTATGCTGCTCCCGTTCAGGCAAAAGTCTCTTTTGCGCAAAGCCTTTGCGCAAAAGGGCCAGTGTAGACAGCTCAGATTTGTTTTCCGCAAAAAAGCCCCGATCGTGAAAATGGCGATCGGGGCTTTCTTGCGCAAAATCACGTCTAGATTGGCACGGACGCTTTTCCGCAAAAAGTGCTTTTGCAGAAAAGCGTCCGTGCCAATCTAGACGCTCTGTTCTGAAAATGCTTTTAACGGAAAACTTTTCCGTTAAAAGCATTTCCGGAAAATCCTGCCAATCTAGACGCAGCTTTTCTGTCTCCGGCTGAACATTTCTGGCAAGTTTAAGCAAAATAGTGCAGCTGTTTGTATGAAGACTAGGGGAACAATAGGTAGTTTTGCCAACTTTTCCCCAACCATTTTCTTAAAGGGCTCTCGTGCCTCCCTGAGCTGAGAACTGAAATTTTGCAAGAGTATAAGCCGGGAATGGAGCATCCGAAAAACGAGCTGCGCTGGTGTTGCCAAAACTTTCCCAATCAAATGCTACTTTTTGAGGGAGGGGGCTGATGCAAAACAACCCATTTAGGGAGACGAGCCATTTTCATGCTGCTGCCAATCCATTTTGTTTCACCACAAGGGACATTACTGAGTCCGTTGCCTGGAGCTCAGGCCCTAGCAGGCTGCATTAGGGGACCTGCGTTTCGTTCTTGGCTCTGCTGTATGTAGCTTTCTTTGTGTCCCAGAGCCAGGCATGACCTTCTCCGTGCCTCAGTGTTCCCGTCTGTAAAAGGGGATCATGAGTAGGTCTACCCACAGCAAATATACACATCCCAGGCCGATGTTTTATTGTGGGGAACACAGGCACTTCAGATGCATATAGGTCGGGTGGGGGCCCACTGAGTTTGGAACCAACCTCACATCTCAGACTCCGAAAGCAGAACATCAGGTGCAGAAGAAAGGGGACCATACCATTTACGGAAGATCCAGCTGCCAGGCACAAGCTCAAGGCCACCAAGACTGTGAAGAGGAGAATCCCTGGCTTCATCCCTGGAGAGAAACACAGATGCACCTGGCTTATTAGCCCTGCCTACAGGAGGTAGAGGCCTTCGGTGCCAGCCACCCACAGTCAGAGACCAGCTGCCCTGCCGGTTTGTATGGGAGTCTGGAAGGCAGCCTGCCTTGGCTGAGAACGTTTGCTGGGAGTCTCAGCTGGTGGGTGACGGGTTCTGCCTGCAGGCCACATTGGCAGGAGCTGTTTGTTTGGGGGTTTCCCTTCCTCTGCAGCATGGGAGCTGGCTCAGAGCATCTGGGCATGTTCCTGCGATCGGTTCCCTGGTGCCCTGTGTCCCGCCTGCACCTCGCAAGGGCGCAGCCTCTGGCAGGCTTAGTCCAGAGGTCCCCAGCCTTTTGGGACCTGAAGGCGGGGCCACTCATGTGAAGGGCACACAGGGGCGGGGCCGCGCACGCAGCCAGGATGGGGCTGCGCACACGCCTGGGGGCAGGGCCACCCATACGCTGCGTGCCCAGTGCTGGTGCCACCCTTGGGCTGCACTCCTGGGGCCGGTGCTGCTCCTGTGCCGCATGCCCAGGAGCCGGCATCGCCCACGTGCTGCACGCCTGGGCCGGCACCGCTCCTGCTCTGTGTGCCCAGGGGCGGGGACGTCCATACCCCGCGTGCCCGGGGCGGCACAGCCCTTGCGCCATGCACCCGGGGTCGGGCCCGCCCATACGCTGCGCGCCCAGGGGCTGGCACCGCCCATGCACCACGTGCCCGGGGGCGGGGCTGGCCCCGATCACTCGGCGGGCACACAGAAATGGCCTGGCGGGCGACATGGCGCCCGCGGGCACCGCGTTGGGGACCACTGCCTTAGTACAAGCCAATCGACTGGGCTCAGTACCAGGGTAGCTGGGTGGGGCTCACTGGCCCGGGAGGGACAGGTCAAAGGGTCTGGTGGTCCCATGTGTGATGCAGAGTACACGCTACGTGTTCCTGCAGAGCCAGCAGATCCGGTCGTTGGCAGGAGGGAGGGACCCTGAGACCTGAGGGGCTAAGCCATGTGCCTCTACTGCATGCGCACAAAACCAGCTGGCTCTCGGCTCAGGCTGTAGAGCAAACGTCCCTGGCCCTTGTCAGTAGTCTCCACGTCTCTGGGTACACTCAGAACCCAGAAAACAAACTACACTCTGGCTACGTCTAGACTGGCATGATTTTCCGCAAATGCTTTTAATGGCAAAGTTTTTCCGTTAAAAGCATTTGCGGAAAAGAGCGTCTAGATTGGCAGGATGCTTTTCCGCAAAAGCACTTTTTGCTGAAAAGCGTCTGTGCCAATCTAGACGTGGTTTTGCACAAGAAAGCCCCGATCGCCATTTTCGCCATCGGGGCTTTTTTGCACAAATCAGTTTTTAGCTTCCTACACTGGCCCTCTTGCGCAAAAACGTTTCGGGAAAAGGGCTTATGCCCGAACGGGAACGTCAAAGCATTTGCGCAAGAAGCACTGATTTCGGACAGTAGAACGTCGGTGCTTTTGCACAAATTCAAGCGGCCAGTGTAGACAGCTGGCAAGTTTTTGCACAAAAGCGGACGTTTTGCGGAAAAACTTGCCAGTCTAGACGCAGCCATTGTGTATCCCTCACTATGTGTATCCTGCTCTCAGGGGCTTGGAGCCGGGCTGGTACTGGCTGCGTGAGGCTGGCGATCCCGATTTCTGACCGGAGCGCTGGGGATTGTGGGCTTGGGAGATGGGAGGTTGGATGGAGGGGTGAGAGTTCAGCATTCTGGGGCCTGGGAATGTTGGGAGAAAGGGAGGTTTTAGAGCTGGGGGTCAGGAGAGGGGGTTCTGAGAAGGGAGGGGCTCTGAGCCTGAGGCGGTTATGGGGAGTGTGTCAGGTGGGCAGGGGGCCGGCCAGGAGGGAGGGGTGTGAACTTGGGGGAGGCTGGTGGGAGCAGTTCTTAGTCTGGGAGCTGAGCTGGGTGGGGGGTTCAGCACAAGGCAGCGGGCGGGGAGGCCAAGAAGAGCTGGCGAGGACACTGAGCTGAGGGGAGGACAGGCTGGGTGAGTGGAGGTAGATGGGGGGGTGCGTGAGGAGACAGGAGAGGTTTTGGGAAGGAAAGGGGAAGAGAAGAATGCACTGGATAGCAGGGGAGTGCGCACTGAGCACGGAGCCGTGACGTGGCCATTCAGAGGTTGGGAAATACCCGAGTGAGGGGCCCATACAAACATGGCTCCTCTTCTGCATCCGCACTGCCAGGCTGCCTGTCTCCCCGGGCCTGCCCCCGCCTCGCACAGGACAGACTCCCTGAGAACTTGCACAACATCCTGCCCCGCGTGGGCCCGTTTACTGCCCGCTCTGAAAACGCGTGTTCACGTCCTCCCAAGGCTGCCGACGGGGTTTACGGCTGCAATTTCTGAACAAAATCAATAACTGGCCCACGCTCACTAGACCTGGGACCCGGGAGGGGTTCCCACCCCCTGGTACAGGGGAGAAGTGGAGCACCCAGGCGCTAAGTCAAAAGACCCCCCCTAAGTTGAGATGCCCAGGTTTGTGGCACGGAGGAGCTGGCTTGTCGGGAAGGTAGCACAGAGACACGAGTACTTCTCAGTTACACGTCTGGACGCGTTTTTTCCGATGAGGCTGATTTTATTGCCCCCTAATCTCAGCATGAGACGTGGATAAGCCATTCCCCCCGGAACTGACAAGCACACGTCACGGACCATTTTGGCCAAAAGTGAAAGTTTGTCAAGTCTGTAAGTAACTGAAACTGGCTCTTAAAACGGGCTTGTTGGGCAAATGTAAATATTGATGGGCCCACAAGTGCCCTGCAGAATACGCAGCTACGCAGAGAAGGGACACACGGGTCTTCTATTCTTCCTGACTCACAAGACAAGAAAAAAAGGGCCGTGTGAGGAAATGAACAAGTGGAACATTCCCAAATGGCACTCAAAGAAACGCTGTTTCACCTGGTGTGTAATTAGACTGGGGAACTCACTGCCACACTATGTCACTGAGGGCAGAAATTCCGTCTACACTGCAGGGTTATTTCAAAATGAGCTACTTCAGAATAACTATTCTGGAATAGCTTATTCCGAAATAGCACATCTACACTGCAGGGAGGCCTCAAAATGAGACCGCGGCAGCTCCCCTAACGTAGCCGTGCTATCTTGATTTAGAGCCCCAGGAGGAATGATTTAGAATGGCCCTGGGGAGGGGCTATTTTGAAACAGCAGAAGTGGAGCGTCTCCACAGGCCTCATTTCGGAATGGGCGTTATTCTTCGTAGAATGAGGCTTACCGACGCCGTAATAAGCCGTGTAGACGCTCGGCCATTATTGCGAAATAACGTTGCTGTGTAGACGCACCCTGGGAGTCCCAGGGACTGGAGAGCACGCTGGTAAAGGACCGCCCGCCAGTAGAGGACTCAGCACTAACGTACATTTTAGACGTGCTACTGAGACCCCGTTCCATCAATCACTAAGCAACAGGAATTGTGAGGCTCCGCCAGGCCGGGGAGGGAAAGGGGCAGGGAGCCTCCATTGCACACTGGGAAGGTTCTTGCACTTTTCCCTCACAGCCCTGTACTGTGAAGTCTCCTGGAAGGGATGTCCCTGGGAGGAGAGGGGACTCCTTTTCTCCCCATCTTTCTGTCTCCCCCCGCCCCACTCCTGCCTTTTCCTTGCCACACAAGGCGTTTCGAGCCCTCCCTCAGAAACGCTGCCCATGGCGGTCCCCAGGCCAAGCCACAAACCCGAGTGGAAAGGAAAGCGGCTCACCTGCCATCTCTGCGCAGCTGGGGACGGTGGCTCAGCTCCTGGGCCTTTTATAGCAGCTGCCGAGAGCTCGGGGCGGGCACTCACCCAGGTGGAGCTGGGCTCTGGCAAGGGGAAGCACCTCTAGGCAGAGGCTGGGCCAGGAGGAAATGTTTACTGCTTCTTTCCCACAGCGAGCTGAGGAATGCCCACTCCTTCCCACTTCCCCGCAGCGGGTGAGTTGGGCAGGGCAAGAGGGCTGCGTTGTACGGTGCCGTTCCTTAGCCTCTGGGGCCGGGCTCCCAAATGCTTTCAGCCCCAGGGCACCTATGGCAGGGGTGGGGCGGCCCCCGGCTTGCTTGGATCCGTCCCCCAAGGCTCGGGGCTCCCGCTCAGAATTGGGGAGCACCCCCATGGTCCTCCCATGGGGCTGGAGCACACAAAATCGACTAGTCTGGGCCTGCCTAGGCTCTGACATGTCGGGGGAATGTGGGGACGGTCTTCTTCCTTCTCAGTCGGGGGCCACGTCACTGAGGGGTTTTTCCTTTTCGCTTGCGGGCGGCCCCCCCCCTGATTTTTCTGTGAGTCGCTGCCCCTGCCCACGCCTGCCCGATGGGGTCCTGAACATTTGTCAGAGCCCTTAAAATATTGTGATTTTTAATTCAATAGGTACCCAAAGAAATAGACAGCGTTTTGGAATTCTGTTTTTATATCTTATAATGTTTTTTCAAGAAAACTCTCAGAAAACTAATAACAAAAGAACAGGGTCACACAGCCGCCACGAGCATTTTCTCACGGAGCTCCTGGACACCTGGACATATGAAAAGGACAAATCAAATTTCAGAACAGAAGGGGGATGGAGGAGGAGGTAAATTTGTCCTTTTCATATGTGTTCATTTTTTTAATTGTATCCTTTGGTATATATGGTTGTGACAATTTTCTTCCACTATTTGATCTGAGGAAGTGGGTCTGGCCCACGAAAACTCATCGCCTAATAAACCATCTTGTTAGTCTTTAAAGTGCTACATAGTCCTGTTTTTTGCTTCAGCTACACCAGACTAACACGGCTACATTTCTATCACTGTTCTGCAAATGACTGCGATGGAGGATGATTGCAGGGAAATCCCACCGGACTGGAAGTGCTAATGCTGGGCCATTTCCAGCAGGACAACCTGGGTCACGAGAGGCCAGTTAGCCTGACATCAATCCCAGGCAAAATGCTGGAAAAGCTGGGACAGGATTCAGTGGATGACAAGTTAGGGGATTAGTAGATTCCAAGGCTGGGCTGGAGCACTGGGATCACGTGGGCAGCTCTCCTAAGAGTGCAGCCCCCAAGGAATTCCCAGAGCTGATGGTTTAGAAAAACATTCAGTTTTGTTTTCAAAATGACCAGTGACGGGGAATCCACAGAGCCCTGGTGCCTTGCTCTGGGGTTAGTTACTCTCACACCCGAACTCCTGTCTCATTTCCAGTTGGCATTTGTCTGGCTTCACCTTGGAGCTACTGGATCTCAGTCTGCTCATTGAAAGAGCCCAGGATCCAATTTCTTTTCGCCGTGTGCTACTGGCAGACTGTCCATGTCACCCACGAACCTTCTCAGCGCCCTGCTAGGCAGCCTGAGGCCGCGTCTCTCGCCCGTGCACGTGTTCTCAACTTTTCAGCATTCTCGTGGCTCTCCCCTGATCCCTCTCCAATGCAGCGGCACCATTTGTAATGCTGGTTCCAGAACTGGACGCAGGATTCCACCCGTGTCAAATCCAGCGGTAAACCCCTCCTCTGCTCTGCCTCCAGAGTCTCCCCGCCTGCATCGCTCTCTGGCGCTCTCAGCACATCCAAGCAGCAGGGTGCCAATGGTCCTGGGGTGCCCTTAAAGACTAACCAGTTTATTTGGGCATCTGCTTTGGTGGGCGGGAGCCCACGTGTCAGACGCAGGGAGGGAAAGGTCAGGTTTCATGGGCAGGCAGACAGTGGAGGTGGGTGTGTATGCAGAGGAACCTGGTCAATTCAATCAGGGCAGACCAGGCCCACTCCCAACAGCTGATGAGAAGGTGAAAATGACCGAAAGAGGGAAAGTTACTTTTTGTAGTGAGCTAACCACTCCTGGTCTCTCTTCAGACCTAGATAAGTCCATGGAGGTCCGGCCCATCAGTGGCTGTTGGCCAGGCTGGGCAGGGAGGACTGTCACAGGCTAGGAATGGGTGACAGGGGAGGGAATCCCATGAGGATTCCCTGTTCCCTTGCCTCCCTCTGGGGCACCTGGCACTGGCGCTGTGGGCAGACCGGACACTGGGCTAGACAGCTGTTTGGGCTGACCCAGTACGTTCTCATGTCCAGACCCAGACTGATAGTGTCAAGTTCCCATGTGGCGAGGAGTCCTGGGGCACCTTATAGACTAATCGAAGTGTTGGAGCAGAAGCTTTCGTGGGCAAAGCCCCACTTCGTCAGATGCACGTCAGATTCAGATGAACACGGCTACCCCTCTGATACAAGTTCCCATCTGAGTTCCAGCTCTGCAGTCTGGTTTTGAAGATTTTGTCCTGAAGTTTGGCAACTTTCAAGTCTGCTACTAAGAGTCAACAGCCTTTGCTCAGGCCTCATACACGGTATGTCTACACTATAAAACTAATTCGAACTAAATTAATTCGAATTAGTTAATTCGAACTAAGCTAATTCAAACTAGTGCATCTAGACCTAAAAACTAGTTCGAATTAGTGTTTTGCTAATTCGAACTAGCATGTCCACACTGAGTGGACTCTGAACCGAGGTTAAGGATGGCCGGAAGCAGTGCCGGCAGGGCATCAGATTAGGACTTAGAGCGTGGAGCTGCTGCCTCAGGCTAGCCAAGGGACCCGACCCACCCCGGACAGACAGTTCTCAGGGGTTCCCCGCTCACTTGTCTAACTCGATGAGGGACAGCAAAGCAGTCCTGGCTTGAAGTGCCCTGAATGCCCACACTCAGCACATCACAGCACTCGGCCATCAGCCCAGCTGCACTTGCCACAGGCTGCCATCCGCGGGGGGT